ATAGCCCCAACAGGGTCCCAAGAGGGGCTCAAGAGAGGTAACTCGAACTGACATTCCGAGCCCTCCGCCCCAAGGAGACCCCCGAGACCGTCAGTAGGCACCAAACAAAACTCCCAAGAGGCCTGGAGAGGCCCCCAAGAGTCCCAAAGAGGCTCCCAGAGGTCGGCGGAATGGCGTAAGCCTCTTGAATCAATATCGTCTCACAAGCCGTGGTTGATGTCATTGCCGTTTAGGTCCCACTGGCGCGTCGAATGAACTGTGTGTGTTTGTGTTTGCTTCGCACGCGTGCAAGAGTAGAACCTCTCCCGCTCATTTCCCTGCCACGTCTCCGCTCCCACTCCCCCTCCCCACCTCCCTCTTCCCCCCTCCCATCGAAACTCACTTCGCCCTCTCGTCCTTCCCCTTCCCACCCGCTCAGCCCTACATAGCCCTTCAAGCTGTCATGAACACCACACGCAAACCACGCGCCTGAGCACCTTGAGCACCTGCTCCTCGAGGGTCTTGTTTTTCTTCAATTTGTCGAGCGAGAGGTGGTGTAGCGTGAACGACGGCAATGCGACGCCGTTGCTCGTTCTCCTCCGCGGGGGCCATATCTATCACAACAGACAACAATCATTGCATGACTATCTAACATATGGTCGTCTGGGTGCCCCCAGCGCAGGGGCTCACAAGAGCCAGACAAAACCAACACATCCACACAATATGTATAATAGCCTGACACAATGTCTTCGGCTGGTGAGATTCCAAGTGTTTACCTGGGGTATTGGGCATGGTGGTCCCGAGCTGGAACCACGTATTTTTACGTGCCCAGGTCACCCAAATTGATATACAACATGGTGACCCCGAGCTGGAACCACGTGTTTTCATGTCCAGGCCACGTGGGGCGGTATCTAGCATGGTGGCCCCGAGCTGGAACCACATGTTTTCATGTGTCCAGGCCACATCTTCACGCATCCAGGCTACACAAGGAGATCCAACATGTGGTCGTCTGGCTCCATGTCTGGGTGTCTCGAGCGAGGGTTGCGGAACTGAATCGGATCTTGAGCTCGAGCTGGTCGAGCGCCCCGCGCGTTTCGATAGCAACTAGCCCGAGCTACGCGTTCAGACAACTCGAGCTTAAGATCCAAATCAGTTCGGTCAGAATTCTGACGCCAAGGACTGCTTGACTCATCACAATGCAATGGCGCACGGCACAAATCAACGCGGCATGTCCCTTGACGCGTCCCCTGGCTTTTCCATTGGCACGCTCCGTGGCGCGTCCCTCGCACGTCATTATGCGGTTCGACACAGCGTAGATCAGCACAACACTGCCCTTGGCAGAAGATCATCATCATTGATATTTTCAATACTGCCACTGCCCATCAACCAATTGAGATGCTTGGAAACGTTCCCATGCTTCGCAGGTCTTTCCGGGTTCATGGGTCGATCATGTTCTGGAAAAGCGCAGGACCCAGCGTTTTCTTTTAGTATGTAAACTTGTCCCCTGTGCCAAGACCGAAGAGAGGGCCGCGGATTTATGTGCGTTGAATAAAAAAGGTGAGGATGTCCCGAGCGAAACGCTGGTTTTTGAAATTCAGGTCGATTGAACTCACAGAGTGAAGTACACATTTTCGCTTTGTTGCGGCTGTCTCTAGCGAAACGCTTGTTTTGCAGAATTTGTTGAGGATATCTCGAGCGAGACGCTTGCTTTGTTTCATGGATTGGTTTTCCCCTGGGGGGCACAGTTCAGCGGATGTCTCACGCTAAATGCTTATTTTCACGCGCCCAGGTCGCCCAGGGATAGATCTAACATTGTTGTCCCCAGATGGAGCTATGTATTTTCACGAGTCCAGACCACCCAGGCGGGGATCCAAGACGGTGCTGTGGTCCCGAGTTTGAACCATGTGTTTACGTATCCAGGCCACCCAATGGGGTATATAACATGATGGCCCCGAACTGGAACCACGTGTTTTACGTGTCCAAGCACCCAGATGCGTAATAATTGACACAGTTTCTTCGGCGGGTGATTTTCCTGATTTCCCCCCTGAGGTATCGAACATGGTGGTCCCGAGCTGGAGCCACGTGTTTTCACTATCCAAGCCACCCAAAGAGGTATCTATCGAACGTTATAAATGGTCGTGATTCAAGTTTTGTCCTTGTATGGCCTGGCCGAAATACTGGCTACGATGCATCCAAACGCTGTTTTGCCGTTTTCGAACCACCATCCCACTGTTTCGAACCGACGTGGAACCGTCAGAACAACCATTTTTGTGAGGATGTCCCGTGCAATTTGCCGTTTTCGAACCGCCATCCCATTGTTTCGAACCGACGTGAAACCGTCAGAACAACAATTGTTGTGAGGATGTCCCACGCGGTTTGGCGTTTTCGAACCGCCATCCCATTGTTTCGAACCGACGTGAAACCGTCAGGACAACAATTTGTGTGAGTATGTCCCACGCGGTTCGCGGTTTTCAATCCGCCGTCCTTTTGTTTCGAACCAGGTCCGACGCCGTATTTTGAAGGAAGTCCCACGCGAAACGCTGATTTTGCTTTTAATTCGAACCGGATGCTATTGTTTCGAACCGAGTTCGAACCGTCTTGAGAGCCACTTTTGTGAGGATGTCCCACGCGGTTTGCCGTTTTCAAACTGTCATCCCGTTTGGCTGAATAAGATCCTAATATAAGAAAACAAACCCCAGGTTCGAACTCCGCCCCGAAAGCGATGCACCTCCCCGGTAACATTGTACCAGGCTCCACGTCCCTAACGGGACGACTAGCGACGTGTGCTCGCATTGCGGACGAAAGATGGATGCACTTTTGCCGACCCGTCAAAAAAGGCCAATCTTTCATTACGGCACAATAGCCCCGAGCTGGAACCACGTGTTTTCACGTGTCCAGGCCACCCAGATGGTTACCTAACATGGTTGTCCAGAGCAGGAACCGTGACTTGTTGACTTATCCAGGCCAGTGTCCAGGCCACCCAGGAGGGGGTCTAACATGGTTGTGCCGAGCTGGAACTATGTTTTCTGTCCAGGCCACTCAGGGCGGTACCTAACATGGTTGGCCCCGAGCTGGAACTTCGTGTTTTCATTACCACATGTTAGATATCCGTCCGTGGGTTGCCTGGACACGCACCACCGCGTGGGTTTCCCTAAGGTCCCAGAGCGGGACGAGCGTGCAAGCACATGTATTCCTAACGCCCCTGGCTTGACCTCTGGCGCCTTCCCTGCCCGTTCCGTGGCGCGTCCTCTGCCACGTCCTGCGACACGTGCCATGGCGCACCCCAGAACGCGCCCAAGGCACATTCCGTGGTGCGTCCACCCGGCCCGCGCCCCGTGCCGTCCCGCCCCGCTCCGGAGCCGAGTCGGATCTCGAGCTCGAGCTGATGGAGCGTCCCACACGTTGCGACTGCAGCCAGCGCTGGGCCAGCTGAGCGCACAGGCAGCTCGAGCTCAAGGTCCAGATCAGTTCGGTCAGGACTCGGATGCCAAGGGCGACCTAATCCACAACATGATGGAGCACAACGCACTTCAATGCGGCATGACACGTCTCGCTTCAGCACAGCACAGCGCAATCCTTGGCACAGCACGTCACGACCGATAGCTTTAGCACTGCAATTGCCTGCAGCCCAGCAGGTGTCTTGGAAACGTAGCCACGCTTCGCGTTTCTGAATCACGGTCTGGGTTCTTGGCTCGATCATGTTGTGTGTATCGCATCGCTATCAGGGTTCATCGAAGAGACGCCCCCGTGTGCCAGCACGGAAGCGTTTCTTCTTATCTGCCCGGCGCCCGTAATTGCGTGGGGAGGGAGAGGCGTGCACCTTTCGTGCCCGTTTTGGGCCCCGAGATCTGGGCTCGGGCGTTGACTGATGGGGGGCGATACGGTCAACCCGTGTATATATCTTAAGGATGCGCGATAGGGATGCAAGAGCCTCGGAGGGCAATGTTACGTTTTTCGAACGAGGTTGGGCAGCGAAATTCGCAATGGATGGGCAGAAGGGGCAAGGATGCAAGGGTAGCCTTGGAAAATTGCTCATCCTTCCTAGGCGGGTTGACTGTGAATGGGGGAGGAGGGAGGCGTTCACCTTTCGTGCCCTTTTTGGGCCCCGAGATCTGGGCTCGGGCGTTGACTGATGGGGGGGCGATAAGTGGGGGGGCGATCAACAGGGGGGCGATCAATGGAGGGGTGATTCTTTTTTCACTATGGAGCAGGAGAACATCACCGCATGCGTTGCCCGAAGAGGCGTACTTATCATATGCCCACGTTCCATGTTTTAAAATATCCCGCATGGTCACGCGAAGGTTGCCGTTGCAACTGACGACTCGGAGGAAGGAACCTGGCTACTCGTCACTACTTCTACCAAAGGAATGTGTTTGGTACAAGACGCCGGGGGAGTCATCACGTCCTTGTGGTCGTCTTCCCCCAGCAAACCTCCGACAGCAAACCCTGCTCGCCCTAAATGCTTCACATACACATTCAAGTACTAAATGCTTCACATACACATTCAAGTACAGGATGCCACTCTCTGTGCGTCCATGGGCGACTTTCAGCTCTGCCTGACCAAAAGCAACCCATTGCGGAATCGTCGTAACGCTTTGCCGTACGCCGTAGTGATACCCTCCAACTTGCTTAGCCTCTGCCCACGAGCCTGTAATGTTCAGTTCTTGGAAATACAGATCCGAACAACTTCCACCCAAGCGGCGCGCATCGGCCTGCACACGAAGCAATGCGTCTTCAGCGCTCACTCCACGAGGGATGTTTATCAGAACATGTTTGCCCGCCTGCATTAAATCGAACCGCTCGCCGTGAACGTTTTGAAGGTGGGGATCGCCGTGGCAGCCACGCCTCCGGCAGCTCCGCCCGCCATAGGAGCTGCGGGAGGAAACGTTGGCTGTGGCGTCGGCCAACCCAGAGGATATACTGGGCGTCGGGCTGGGCGTCGGGAAGGGCGTCGGGAAGGACGTCGGGTAGGGCGTCGGGAAAGCCGTGGGTAGGCCGTCGGGAAAGGGCGTCGGGAAGGCCGTCGGGTAGGGCGTCGGGAAGGCCGTCGGGTAGGGCGTCGGGAAGGCCGTCGGGTAGGGCGTCGGGAAGGGCGTCGGGTTCGGCGTCGGGTTCGGCGTCGGGTAGGGCGTCGGGTTCGGCGTCGGGTAGGGCGTCGGCTTCGGCGTCGGGTACGGCGTCGGGTTCGGCGTCGGGTTCGGCGTCGGGTTCGGCGTCGGGTTCGGCGTCGGGTTCGGCGTCGGGTACGGCGTCGGCCTCGGCGTCGGGTACGGCGTCGGCCTCGGCGTCGGGTACGGCGTCGGCCTCGGCGTCGGCCACGGCGTCGGCCTCGGCGTCGGGTACCGTGTCGGCCACGGCGTCGGCCACGGCGTCGGCCTCGGCGTCGGGTACCGTGTCGGCCACGGCGTCGGCCACGGCGTCGGCCTCGGTGTCGGGTCGGGCCCTTTCGCCGCCAGAGACCTGTCCAAAGACTGCTGATCATCCGCGACCTGGGAACCCTTGAAGCTCCTGTCCATCAGCACCTTCGCCGCCTGGGAACTGCTGGGGCTGGCCACCCTGCAGAGGCCACACGTTGCAGGGCAGGTCGCCTGCACAGTGCTGCCATACGCCGCATCTTCGCAATAAGGCTGTACCTCAGTACAACCACTGATCTTGACGCCGATGCCGCTGGCCAACGCGATAATGTGGGCGTCGTCATCTGCACACTTCGACTTGGAACTCACATCGATCGAGGTCGCAATGGGTACGCTGATGCTGAGGACGAATGCAACCGCGGACCGCACGGTCCAAGGTGCCTTCTGGACCGCCATACCACGGAACAGAAAGGAAGGGACCCGCGAGCCAAATGTTTTCGCGTGTGTAGTTAGATTACGGACAAGATGGAAGCTGCCCCAGGTCTGCCTGAACTGGGATGCCTTGAGCCAATCGGGGGTCCCAAAACGGTGCGGTGACAGACCGTGCAGTGCCCTCGCAATCCCCGAAGACATCACCACGCGGTCCGTCACCGCGCGGTTCTGGTCCAGTAGTAGCTGTGAGGGAAACCCTCCCTGACAAGCAGGGCGGGAAATTCCGCCTTGCTTTTCAAAGAACTAGCCGCCCTTCTCTTCCCGGAGGCGGGAACTTCCGCCCTACAGTCGAAACCTATAATAAAGATGAGTACCCTTGCATCCTTGCCTCCTCGGTCCGTCCCTAGCGCCTTTCGATGGCCAGCCCTGCTCGAGAAGCTTCGACAAGGGAGTCCCAGGCCCTTGCATCCTTACCGCGCATTCTTACTGTCAGTGTTGATTGCAGCGTCGACCCCCAGAGGTCTCGACCCATTGCTCGGGACCGGCTTTGCATCCCGAGTGGTCTGTTGACGGTCCCGAGGCCCGGGTAAGGGCCCCCAGAGGCCGAAAATGGCGAAGAGCCTCCCGTCGTGATCTTCTCATGACCCGAGGGGGGTCAATTTTTGACTGTGCTTCTTCGTCTCGTTCGGGGAGCACTCCGACGCAGGCCGCCCGAGCACGGCGGCTCTGGCGCCGAAGCCGGCCCGACTGCGCCGAGGGTCCACGAACCTCGGGCCGATCGCAATTGGGGGGGAGGAGGGAGACGTTCACCTTTCGTGCCCTTTTTGGGCCCCGGGATCTGGGTTCGGGCGTTGACTGATGGGGGGGCGATACAGTCAACCCGTATATTGAGGATGCATGGTAAGGATGCCAGGGCATTGGAGGGCCATCTTAACGTTTTTCGAGCGAGGTTGGGCAGCGAAAGTCGCAATGGATGGGCAGAAGGGGCAAGGATGCAAGGGTAGCCTTGGAAAGTTGCTCATCCTTCCTAGGCGGGTTGACTGTGAATGGGGGAGGAGGGAGATGTTCACCTTTTGTGCCCTTTTTGGGCCCCGAGATCTGGGCTCGGGCGTTGACTGATGGGGGGGCGATAAGTGGGGGGGCGATCAACAGGGGGGCGATGAATGGAGGGGTGATTATTTTTTCACTATGGAGCAGGAGAACATCACCGCATGGGTTGCCCGAAGAGGCGTACTTGTCATATGCCCACGTTCCATGTTTTAAAATATCCCGCATGGTCACGCGAAGGTTGCCGTTGCAACTGACGACTCGGAGGAAGGAACCTGGCTACTCGTCACTACTTCTACCAAAGGAATGTGTTTGGTACAAG